GTCTGCTTCTCCCTCTGACCCTCCCCCCTCTCATGCTCTCTCTATCTCATTCTCTCTCTCAAATAAATAAATAAAAATATTTTAAAAAAAAATAAAAAAATAAAAAGTGTTAGTGGGCTGATGAGCTGGCTCTTATTTTGAAGGCCCATTTTCTGGACGGAGGAGTCATCTCGGAGTGTTACAAATATAGGCCCATTCCAACCCTGTTCTATTTTCTGTTTCCATTATTTCCAATAACTGAGTGCTGCGATTGTTCTAAATTATTTTCATTGTTTGTGCTAAAGGGTTTTGAGATTTTATAATTGCCTAATGTGGCTTTTGCCAAGTTGATTAAAGTGTTTGAGGTTTTCAGCCGCCTGAGAACAGTTTCTGCAGTGGTTTTACGGAGGATATCTTTGTATGGTATTGTGGCTTTTTTTTTTTTTTTTTTTCCATCTTCCTATGTGAATAACGTTGGCTAATTTCTTTGTAGGGTGATTTCTAACCTAGAAGCAAGGAATTTGGGTAAGAAAAGACCTGTAACAAAGCCTTCTGGATTTCAGTCAGTGTTTGGTTTGTAACACGGTGTTTCCTACCCCTGCGGGTTGGCAAGAAAATCACGCTCGGTAGTCCAGTGAAGGGAACACCCTTTAATATCTTCCTGTTAGAGTGACCACCCAGCCCCTTCCATGTCTGTCTTGGCACCGGGACCTTTAGGGACAGCTGCTGAATGTGCTTTTGCTGGAAGAGTCCCTGAGTGTTGGCCGTCTGGTTTTCATTATTCTTCTTCAGAGCCTTGATCTACTTACCGTGCCCCGTGGCTGTACCCACAGGAGGCACCTCGGCAGTTCCCTTGGCTTAGGCCTGCTTTCTTTCCAGCTGTCTGATCACACAGGGGTCTTTGATTTTGGTGAACATTTGGGCACTCCCTGGGCTAGGTCATAGGAGTACAAAGATAGGAGTCTCTGGGTAAGCGGTGTGGTTATGGGGGAAGAGCATGGGCTTGGAGCCAGACAGAACTTGGCTTCAATTCCAGTCCAGCCACATGTTAACAGTGAGCTCTTGGGGAAGCCATGTGTTCACTTCGTGCATTAACCTTTTCAGGGCAAGGTGAGGAGGAAAGTGAGAGTGAGTGGGGAAGTGTGTATAGGGCCTAGTACAGCGCTTCGTGCACGAGATACCTCAGATGGCTGCTTTGTCATTAACGTGTGAGGAAGGAATGCTAACATGCTGTTTCTAAACCAGGTGGCGGGTGTTCTAGAACCACAGTGTGTGGGGGGGGAATTGGGTCAGGAGTGGGGATGGTTGGGGAAGAGAGGGAGCTTAGAAAAGGCTTGCCAGAGGGAGTGACATCCGAGGTAAGTCTTGATAAACACCCTACCGGCTAAAACTGGGGGAAGAGAAGGCTAAACGAATCCAGGTACAAGCTTTTTGTGGTTTTGTCACTGGAACCCTTTCAGGCCTCATAAAGACCAGCCTCCATTTAAAAAGCTGTTATTTTTATATCCCACGTTTGTTTTATAGGCTTGGATGTTTAGGTGTATGCTGGGTGACCCTAACGGAAATGATTTTATACAGTGCGTTGTGGGACATCCTGCAGCTGTGCACACAGATCATGTGAACCAGGACAGTGAAGTTGTGATCCAGCCCAGGGAGACAGAGCCTGTGCTCACCGAGCAACCCGGAGGGAACCAGCCTCTGACTGTGTGACCAGGCCATCCATGCCCGGAGCCGGGGGCTCTCCCACTGGCGGCGGGCAGGAGTCCTGCCCAGCAGCCGGGGTGTGAATGTGCCTGGCTCAGGCTCGCCCTTCTTGCCCAGCTAGACATTGTGCAATACGGGAAATGTTGCCAGTTGTCAAGGTTTTTGTTGTGTCCATCACTCCTCTGCCCCTGTTGGAGCTCCTACTCCTGTACTTCCGGCCTGTTTGCATCCTGTGGCCAGTCCTTCTCTCCGCGTGCACTTTGGGAACTTGTCCCTTCCCCTCACATGCTTGGCTTGCACTAGCACCCTAGGAAGAATGTCATCACTAACAGAAACAGAACACTCTGGATGAAATTCAGGGCTGTTGGCGTCCGGTTTTGAATTGCTTCATCTTAATCAAAAAGCTCGTGTGGGACCCAGGTAGGATTTATCCCGAGGACGCAAGAGGTACCTGTGCTGTCCCTCACAGTGTCATCAGCCCGCTGACCAGGGCAGCTCTGCTCTCTTGCCAGGTGCGGGCCTCAGTTGCTCTAGGAGAGGACGAGCAGGGCACGCACGTGCGGTTAGAGCAGTGTTAGGGCCCATCCTGCAACAAGACTGTGTGTGTCTGCCCCTCCAGTCTGCTGGTATAGTGCAAATCATGGCGGAGAAAGTGCCATCCGATTTAACCTTACACGTCACTTTTTCCATCTTGGTGAACTGGTTACCTTTTTATTCGGATACCTGTGTCAGTCAGGATTATTTGCTACAGTAATTGACAGGTCCCCTCAGTTCAGTGACTCCCAAAGTCACTAAACTATAGGGGGTCACAAGGAAGGCAGTCGTGCGATCCTTCCACCAGGTCCCTGTCGCAGAGTTTATGGCCCCCTTGGGGTTAAGAGAGGTGTCTCTAACTCCAGTGAAGCAGAGGTTCTTAGACGGTGGTGAGTTTTCATGTTGAAGAGAATTCAAAGCCAGAGCCTACTGGTGTTGGGAAATGTGTGCCTTGTTTTCTTTCTTTCCTGGTCTGTTAGAGTAGAGCTCTGTGTGTATCACCTGGGTGATAAGTTCGGCTTGCAGGAATAGGTCACACATTTAATGAAAAATTTCATCCTATCAGCAAAATGGTCTATTTTCTCAATAACTCAGAGAAGGGAAACCCAGGCTGATTTCTCTTCTTCTAGCCCATTTCCCAAAAACCACCCTTCCTGACTATTGTTTTGTTTAATTTCAGAGCCAAGATTAACACCCCTCTTCCAGGAGGAAGACAGCCCCCAGAGGCTGCTGATGGGACTGGTAAGTGGCCTGGGGGCCATTTGGGTGCTAAGAAACGATAGGATCCAAGAAAAGGGTAAAGGGCTAGATTGTGCTGCTCATGCTGACCTTATTTTTCACTCATTCTTTTAACACGTAGCTGTTACCAGCCACTGTAGGCCCCGTGTGCTCAATAGTAAGCACCACAGATAGAGTTCTGCACTTTTAGAATTTAGTGGGGGAGACATATATAAATCAGTCACTGCCCAAAACCTATAATTACAAAACATCATAAGGAAATGTACAGCATTGAGTATTTAAAACAAGGAAAGAACAATGTCTCTGTGGCATTTGTATTTGGGGTTTAAAATACAATAGAATAAAGTATCATTTCTCAAGAAGTCCTACTATTAGGAAGACCAAAGAAAGAGAAATCAAAATAAATGAATGGAAGAGCAGAACTGATAAATAAATCCAAAATCTATTTTTTTAAAAAAACTGATTGAAGAGACATCTGGAAAGTCTAGTAAAATATCTTTAATCCTGTGCAGGCTTAGGAATGGGATAATCTATTACCTTAAATATGGAAAGTTTTAAAATGTGAGAAAAACATGTGTAAATGCATATTCACGCATTTAAAAATTCCAGTTAAAATTTCCTTGAGAAATAGAAATACCAAACTTGAGCCAAGAAGAAATAAAAATCCTTGAAAACATAATAACCATAAAATAATTTGAAAAACTTGTCAAAGATTATCTTCAGGGGTGCCTGGGTGGCTCAGTCCGTTAAGTGTCCAACTCTTGATTTCGGCTCAGGGCATGTTCTCAGTGTCCTGAGGTTAAGCCCTGTGTCGAGCTCCACACTGGGTATGGAGCCTGCTTAAGATTCTCTCTCTCCCTCTCCCCCACTCCTGCCCCATGCATGCACTCTCTCTGTCAAAAAACAAAAAATAAGTTAAGGATTCTTGCTATTTTCACTAAAATTTTACATTCTGGAAATTCTACACAGTGCAATAAGAAACAAAAGTAAAAGAAGATGGTATGGGGCGCCTGGGTGGCTCAGTCGTTAAGCGTCTGCCTTCGGCTCAGGTCATGATCCCAGGGTCCTGGGATCGAG